ACTGGCACTTCCAAATGCTAATTCCTTGGATTCACTAGAGTTAGAATACTCAAAACAGGTTCCAAACAATGATGACTGGAAGCAAAATGAGTCTAACACCGATAAATTTGAATGTTTACACAAGTTAGAAATTTCGGGTTGTCACAATATATATATAAATGACCAACTACGTCTTCGAATCCAATTGTTTTGAGATCAAGATCTTGTTCTATTGAAGTAACGATGTGTATGAACATTCCTGGTAAACTAGTAAGGAATTTATTGACGAGTTTTCTTTTGCTTAGGGTTTCATCAAGGGACATGGATTTTGATGAGATGCCTAATACATGGCTTGCAAACACATCAATGGTGTTTGTTTCCTTCATCTTCAAGTTGTCAAACTCGGTAATAAGAGTTTGTAGACGTGCTTCTCTTACTCTATCTGTGCCAAGGTGACGAGTTTTTATAGCATCCCAGATTTCTTATGCCATATCATTGCTCCAACTTGCAAAATAAGGTCTTCGGGAATCGCTTGGAAGAGAACTGCTATAGCGATGTTATTCTTCTTTAGCTCATTCTCTCCTGGGTCGGCGACATCCCAAACTTGATGTACGTTTAAGATCACTTTCATGCGAATTTCCCATACAATGTAATTTGTTGCAGACAACGTCAGAACATTGAACGAGAATGACGAGCCTTTCTTCATACCCGGAGGTCCCAGATTGTTGTCTCCCGTGCCTATCATGATCGGCGAACACTCCCTTTTACGTTAGTTGCTTTGATACCAATTGTTGAAAGTAATTGGTAAAACACGAAAGTACGAACACGAAAAATACGGGAATAAATCTTATTATAACAAAGAAAATAGCTCAAAACTTCTTTACAATCAAACCCTTTGTATCTTTTTGTCCGATGTCATATATATATATATATATATATATATATATATATATATATATATATATATATATATATATAAAAGCTATCTAATTAGAATCCTACTTTGATCTCTAATTTCCATATATAAAACCTTATTGTCAGGGTCGTTTCAAAGGGTGGGGCAACATGGGCGATGACCCACGGCTTCCAAATTTTCAGGACTCATTCTACGTATCTACTTATATTATTTTGGAAAAAATAAAAGTTTTTGGTATTAAGTCATAGCAACTAGTAAAAGGGGCTTATTTTTTTTATTTTGTCCGGGGCCTCAAATCGGCTTGAAGCGGCCATGCTTATTGTTTGATGCTAATCAACCTCTATTTTTGCTTGAATCCTTGGCAACTTTTTAGACTTCTTTTCTTGCAAAATTTAGTGTTTAACGTTAATGTTTTTAAAATTAGTGCTTGATTTTTTCAGAAAAATACAACAAAACATGCCAAAATTTATCATTTTTATACAGTTAAAAAATGGTATTCATATCAATATGAAAAAAAATTTGAGTTGTTTTCATGTTCTCACGCAAAGTAGCATTCTCAATTTAAACCATTCTCTATCATCCTAAACCGTTCTGATGCAAATTAGCATTCTCATTTAAATCATTAGTTGTGAGACCTTTATATTAAATGATTTAATTAAAAAAATAAATAAATATAAAGATCTAAATATTTGAGAACTTTGAATTTATAAGATAATAAGAAAAATATAAAATTATTAAAATTAAAATGTATTTTTTATCTTTTAAATTTAAACAAATAATTTAAATAAATAAACAAAAGAAACTAATGAACTTTAATTTGAGAATTTTGAAATTAAAATGTAAGTCCATTAGTGAAATTGATATCCATTTATTTCTATATTTATTGTAATTATTATATTAAAATATTATGTGGAATTTAATAAAATAGAAAAACCATAAAATGACACGTAGATAAAAATTAATTCAAAATAATCATAAAATAATACTGTAGTATTTGGTAAATTGAATGAAAATATAATATGTAACAAAAAAAAAATATATCATTTATTAGGGTTCTCTACCATCCTAACCTAAGCTGTAAACTTAATGATTCATGGTTTTGCAGCTGTGAACATTAATAAAAGGAACATGCGTAAAAAAGAGAGAGAGACAAAAATATATATGCAAAATTTGTACATTTTAATGGGCCAAGTCCATAGAAAAACTTAAGCGCCAAGGCTCCCTAACGTTGGCTGGTATAGGCCTATAGGGGAGTTCGAATTTATGTTATCATATTTGATTATTTATTTATTGTGATTCTAAGTTTAAAAATTGGGTTTTAATATTAAAATAATCAATTTCATACCCATTATTATTTAAATAAAAACTAAAATGACTTATTCTTCTTCATTTTAACTTATTTTAAAGAATATTCATGCACATTAATTTGCTATTATTTATGTTTTTATTAAAATAATATAACTATTAATTAAAGTTATAGATGATATATAGTCTTTCAAATCACAGGAAACTTTTCTACATACATAATAAAAGATTTTTTATGTATCAGATTTTTTTTGCTTTATATCTTGGTTGTTATCTCTTTTATATTATGTTTCCTTATTGTTTTCTTGGAGATTATTATGTTGAGATAATTCAAGACTTGTTATTTTTGCATGTTTTAGTCCAAGAATAAATCAAAGGCACAAGAATAAATCAAAGGCACGTGGAAAGTTGTTTCTCCTGGTCTTTGGCATTTAGTTAGCTTATTTCCGATTTTCATGCATTTCTTAGTGTTTAAATTGTAAGGCAGCCGTATCCCTCTAGTTTTTCCACTTTTATGAATGAAACAGTGCAGTTTTCTGCCCCTGCCCCTGTGTACTTTTGTCTCATTCTGTTTTTAGCTTTCTCTACTTTGAGCTTCTATCCCCTGTTTGCTTTATTTTCTTGAAAAGAAGTTGTTAGCATTTCTGGAAAAAGCCAACATATTATATATAGTCCTTCATTCAATCGCACCCATGCACGTAGACTCTCTCTCGGAAGCACAGAACCATGGTGATCAACAGAAGGCAATGGTGGTGGCAGCACACTACCCACATAAAGAACGTCTCCTTCTACGAACACAACATCTTCACCGCCGTAACCAAAGACCCTGACTATGTCTCTGCATGGATCTCTGAAATCACCGAGAATATCAACGACCACCGTCTAATAATCGGTTTAGACACAGAGTGGCGCGCTTCCTTCCGGCGAGGAGAAACCGCGTCGCCATCTTACAGTTATGCGTAGGCCATCGCTGTCTCATCTTTCAAATCATCCACGCACCATACATCCCTCAGTCGCTTATCGATTTCCTGAACAACCCTAGTTACACCTTCACTGGTGTCGGCATCCATACAGATGCCGAGATGCTGGTGCGGAATTATGGTCTGGGACGTATGATGGGACGAGATTGGCAGCGAATGTGAGGGACGTGGGTGTGGCTGGCGGCGCCGATGAATGGTAACACCATTAATGGATTAGGGTTGAAGTCGTTGGCGAAGATGTTGCTGAGTATGGAACCTGAGAAGCCGAAGCGTGTGACGTTGAGTAAGTGGGGCAACCAATGGCTGTTGCCGGAACAGATTGATTATGCATGTATTGATGCTTTCTTGTCCTTGGAGATTGGTAGGGTTTTGATTACATGATTATGGTATATTGATCATATCGAGTTATTGAATGGTTTTTAATTCTCCCTTTTTATATGTCTATATTTTCTATTTTTAATTTTTAATTTTTAATTTGTATGATTAGCTTGGGTAATGCATTATTAAAATTCATATTATAAGCAAGTGTAAACCATAAAGTCACTGTAAACTGTAAAGTAGAAAAAATCATCTGTGTGTTTTCGTATTGTCCTTTCAATTTGAGTCATTCCTTGAAAGTCTAATTTGTTGCCTTTTTTGTTCTTCCTATAGTCCCGAGCCCCCATGCTTTGAATAAGCTGTTGTTTGTTTTTTGAAGCAAAAATTTATAAAGTCTGCGGACCACCTCTGCAGCCCTCTGCAGTAAAAGAGGTGGACCAAACGGCTGCAGACTGTAATAAGAAGCGTGTTTGTTTTTTTAACATCTGCATACTACTGCAGATACTAAAAAATTAAAATAAACTGATTTTATAATCCGAATATAGTTTTTTAATACCGAAAATTTAATAATGTATGACATTTCGGCAATAATTTATGATATTTCAGCAAAAATTAATGATATTTTAACAAAAAATAAAGATATTTTAGCATAAAATAATGATATTTCATCAACAAATTATTATTATTCAATATAAAAAAAAAGAAAAAAAATTTCAACAAGAATAAACAAAAAAAAATGTGAAATAAGATTTCAATAATATATAATCAATATTTTATCAAGAAAAAAAAAAGAAGAAGAGGTTGGAAGAGGTAGGAAGAGGCAAAACAAGTGTTGCGCCAAGAAGAGCACGCACAGAGGTTTTTTAATCCGAAGACTTCTGAAAAATAAACAGCTGCGAGATTAAAAGTGTTGCGCGTGTGCTGCGCCGTGCAGCAATAAAAGGTCTGAAGAGGTTTTTTACAAAAAACAAACAGCACCTAAGGCTTGGTATAAACCGATTTGAGACCCAAGGCAAAAGACCTTCAAAATATCAAAAGTTATAATCAGATAACTAAAATTTGTGTATAATAGTAACTTTTAATAATTATATTAGAATAATATACATGCACAATTAAAATGGAACCTATAGAATCTCATTCTAATATTCCAAACACCCCTTCAATGATTCTACTTAGGGATGTCAAAAACCCCAACGAGACCCCGTTCCCGTGGGACACCGATACCGTACGGGACTAATTTTTAAAAAAATTCGGGAGCGGGAGCGGGGGCGGGGGCGATATTAACTCCTGTTTATTTTCGGGACCGGGGGCGGGAGTGAGTATTTCCGTCCCGTACTACCGCGGGGGC